GGTTCTCCGAACTACTCAAAATTTCCGCTACCAGTTCTCCAAAACCTGTTAGAACTGGCTGAATACCACCTCGGAATGCCATTTTTCACAGCAGGAAAGAAGTGGTTCCAAAACTGTGTTTTTATTGTCTTCTAGAAAGTCTGGAACCAAGTAAGTCTCTATAATTTAGATAGATAGCAAGAATTATGGATCCCTCACAACAAAGGAGAACAGCGGAGGTGGAAGTAATGGGATGAGATAGGATGGATGCCACAATAGTCAAAGGATGCCAGGTCTGTTATTGAGAGGGAGCCAGAGAAATCCCCAAAAGTGAATAACTAGGGAAAAAAGGCCCAGTCTATGGCCAGAACCACTCAGCTGGAAGTCTCACTTCAAATGCTGCAGCAAAATTCATTGGGGCTTAGGTGCAATGTAGCAGCATTTTTCCAGAATACATTAAAATGTATACATTTTAATGGTATATAATACAATTTCCTTCATGGAGCATGATGGCCAGGCTGTCTGGACAAACAAAAGCATCTCCAGGCATTACATGTGTTACAGGTCCGATATTTCCTGTGAGGAACATATAATTTCCTTTGATTCTACTGTATTTTACTCAATTCTAAGGTGATCCTCTTTATAAATACTCACACAATTATTTGCAAGAAAAACATTAAAAACAAGAAAGCTTGCATTATGGCGCTTCTTTACGAAATATCTTTTTGCATTTTTACCATTTTAAAAGATTTCCTGATTTCACCCATTGATAAACTCCTCACTACTCCAGGGCCTGGATTGCAGAACTGAGATGAAATTATCTTTAGGACTAAAGAGTTTTCAGATCATTGATTGATGGACAAGACTAGCATGCTATTTCTTTTAATGGTGTGCCGAGGCAAAGATTGAAATTTCTTCCTTACCAGAACGTTGACATTCAGTTCTGCATTGCGCCATAGTGTAGAAGTTGTTGTCATTTCCTCCACATCCATTGTAAATGAATTCCTCACAGTTCCCTGTTGCTGCATTGAAATAAAAATGAAGGAACGAAGCTTTGCACCGTCCTGCATCTAATGGAAGTTGACATTTCTCTGGATATACATCTAAAAGTAAAAAGAAGAAAATAAAACAGATTATCCCTCTTAAAGAACCCCAAAAGTTCATCACACGATAATATACTGCCTTTGGGAGGGGTGGGGGTGGAGCTGACATTGCGACAAGATGATGGGTGATTCTGGTGCTGCCGGGGCGCCGTCAATACTGGCGCAGCTGGAAGGTCCATCTGGACCCAAACCGTTCCATAGAGAGGGTGGTTGAGGAGAGCGCAGCCTGCTGATCCCAGGGACACTGCAAAGTCCCTGGTTAATCCAGGTAAAGCTCCGTAATCCGGCTATGGAAGGAAGCGGCCATTGAAGCTGCTGAAAGGTTGGGACAGTGTGTCAGTTTGGGGTGAGATTGTTAATTTTTTTTTTCTGGTAAAAAGAGAGAGTACCCTAAGGGGGGAAAGATCTTAGAAATTGTTGTGGTCAGTCGGCATCAGGAGCGAACGGCTGAGGAGAGTGAGGATTCAGATGAGGGGCCAGGAACATTGGAGAGTGGACTGCTGCCTTCAGA